ATTGAAGATTTAATAAAAATCTTTTTGAGACGAATTTTGAATATTCTTGAAATATACTAATTATATGTCTAATTACATAAAATATAAGTATTGTCTAAAGATTATAATAAGTGACAAAAGTTATTTAAAATAACCTACAAACTATATATATATATATATATATATATATATTTTATTTTATTTTATTTAAAAAATTAATTATCTTAAATCGTTCAAAATTAGAGAAGCTCGAAATTAATTATTATCGGGGAGGGTCAAAATTAGGTGTCAACATCTGGGAGGGTGAGGTGTACAAAGAGTCAAAGACCTTACACCACCATTGAGGAGTAGATAGACAATTTTCGATAGACCTTCAGTTCAAGAACATATTTTATAGACTAACAAGAGCAAAAGACAATGATGTAATATAATGAAGAGAACAAGAAAAGAGCATAGGTAGCCAACGTAAATGAAACAACAGTAGCAGTAAAATCGAAGAATAAGATAATGCTAGCATAAAAACAATAATGCTAGTAAGGAAATCGATAGATGCACTAGCTTGAAACCCCTCTCTATGAAAAATGCTCAACTATCATGCTCTTATATCTATGGGCATATGCTCGATAACCTGGAGATGTACCTTATCTTATCTAATCACCTCTCTCCAATGTCTATTAACATTATTGTTTTCATGCAAAATGTAGCTTGAGATGGAAATTGCGTTAGCTGAGGAGAAAGCCCTTCGCCTCAAGTGATTCTCTCATCCTTATGGACTGGTAATAATCTATAGTTCCCTTACTTGTTTTTTACTATGTTTCCTATGTTATTAGTACTCCATGTTTGTTTCAAGAAATCTATCAATTAATTTCGATTCTTTTTTTTTCTTAAATTTTTTCGATTGAGATATATAGATCTTATTCATAGATTAATGAAAATGTGCAAAAAATTCTATTTATATTTGCTATTCTGAGTCTCATCCTTTTTACATATGATATTGACTCCACTCTGCTTTGACAACATCCACTAATCTAGAACTTAATTTAATAATCATATTTCTCGTTAGTAAAAATATAATTTTGACACCATACAAATGTTATATTGTTGTTTAATACTTTTTTTTCTTTTTATGTTTTGTGAATAAAGGAGTTTCAGATTAGAAGGTGGAAAATCGAACAAAGGTCAATGCATGAACTTCGTTTCAAGAATCAGCCATGAATATGGAGAGTCTGGAGAGTGAATGTTGCTTTATTTACTACTCCACTACAATACTGCTACTAGAAAAACTATGAAAAATAATGTTTCAACTTTTTTGGTCACCATATAGGTGCACAACAATGTGTTTTGTATGAGATAGAAGCAAGACTATCTTTATTTATCTAATCTTTGTTTTAATTTTATTATGTTTTTTTAATGGTTAAAAAGTTGTGCTAAGCTTAAGCATTGATTTTTATTGAGAAAATTTCAGAAATAACAAAGATAATCGACATAATAAGGTTCTATATTTATAGAGATAATAGACATAATAAAGTTCTATATTTGTAGTTTCGGTAAGTACGCTCCATAGCTATAGTTATAGTTCTATTTGTTATGGAGGTTGCGATTTATATATTTCGTGTGTCTGCATGGTTTGTATATTTCACTTGCGAATATTCAAACAAGATAAGTATATACAATTAATTTTGTAATTATACATTTAAGAATTTTTCAGAATTCTATTTGTATATTATGCTTGCCAATATACAAACATGGTAATTTATCATGATTTTTTCATAAACCGTTTATAAATAGCTAGGGTAAGAATATACAAATTCTGAATTTATACAATCAGTAACAAAATCATACAAATACTGAATTTATACAATTAGGAACCATTTTATACAAATTCTGAATTTATTCAATCAGGGACCGAATATATACAACTTTTGAATTTATACAATTAGAAAACTGAATAACAAAATTTCGCGAAACTATGCCACAAATTAAAAATACTCAAAATTATAGTTATATTACATAATATACTCTAGAACTTTCCGCCATAATTCCTCTTCACATACAATCATGTTTTATGTGCAAATTATGCCAGGCTTACGAGTACGAGGTACATTGATGACATCGTCACTTTGCTGAAGCTTCCTACAATAATTTGTATCTTGAAAAACTTATTTATTTATTGATATAATAGAGTTAATATAAGAAGCGTAATTAGTACTTATTACTTTTTTAATCGTATCTCAAATTTGATCAATGTAATGAATGAGTTCCTAAAAAGCAAAGTAATTACTACTACTTACTATTAATTTTCCAATGCCAAAAATAGTTAAATTATCATTTTATTCTTTGCTTCTTAAAGAGTATGCCTAATCGATTGGATAAGTAAAAATGGAGGGAAGGAGTATTTCTCAAATGGGTCTAGATCCACATTATTTGACTTTTGTAAAGACAAAAAAGGAAAAATAATTATGGATATAGGGTTGAGAGAAATGAAATTTTAAAAAGGAAAATAATTATGGGAACAAGTTAAAGAGTTGAAAATAAGTATCCATTCCTATTTAAGTGTGTTAGTTTGATTCAGAACGAAAAAAAAGCTGTAATTCACTACTCAAGTTCAATTTTCTCTACGAATTTTGGGTTTCAAGTTTACAAAAATGGATGACAAAAAGTTGAAGTGTGTGATCATCAAAAAGTTTAAGTTATGTTGTAAAGAAAGCACAAAACAATAACATATTAAGTATAATCCAAGGGTGAGGTACCTAGGGAGGATGAGGTGTACAAAGAGTAAAAGACTGTACCCATCCTTGAGAGGTAGAGAGGTGGTTTTTCCATAGACGACCCTCAGATGAAGAACATATTCTAAAGAAGAGCAAGAGTGAAAAACAATGATGAAAATAATGAAGAAAACGGTAAAACAACGTAGATAGCTAAAGTAAATGAAACAACATTAATAGTAAAATTGAAGGATAAGATAATACTAGAATAAAAATAATAATACTAGTAAGGAAATCGATAGATGTACTAGCCTCGAACCCGACTCTATCACAGGGAAGGGAAAAACACTCGACTACTCTGCTACCCACTAACCGATAATCCTCGTCCTTCATGCTCTTCTATCTATGATTAGATCCTCGATAAGGTAAAAATGTATGATGTCTTATCTAATCACCTCTCTTCAATATCTATTTATGTATTATGCTTAAAACCTATGTATTACATGTCTACTAACATTATTATTTGCATGCAAAATAAAGCTTGCGAAGGAAATTGTGTCAGCTGAGGAGAAAGCCCTTGGTCTCAAGTGATTCTTTCATCCTTAGGGACCGGTAATATTCTCTAGTTTCCTTTTTTGGGGTTTTAGTGTGTTTTCTATGTAGTACTCCACGTTTGTTTCGAGAAATTTATCGATCAATTCAGATTCCTTTTTTCTTACTCCTGATTTTTTTCTGATCGAATATATAGATCTTGTTTATGAATTAACGATAATATGCAAAAACTCTATTTACTTATGTCATTATATAAGTTTCTTTCTTTTTACGTATGACATTAATCCCACTCGCTTTGACACCATCCACTTGTTTGGAACTTAATTTGAAAGTCATATTTCTTATCAGTAAAAGATTAATTTAATTATTTTCCTTTTATGTTTTGTGAATATAAAGGGCTTCCAGATTCAAGATGGGGAATCAATATGCATGGAGAGTGAATCTGTTTTAATACTACAATTTCTGCTGGTAGAAAAACAATGTAAATTAAATAATGTTTCAACTTTATAGTGACCATACAGGTTCATACAATGTGTTTCGTATAAAACAATTATACTATCTTTATTTATTTATCTTGTTTCTATTTTACTACTATTGTCTTTTTTATGGTCGTTGATTTCTCAAATCATCACTTAAATTTATTAGGTCTCTCAGAAGATAATAACCTAGATAGTCGTTCATTCAATTAGAACATGCAAATGGTAATAATATGTATTTTCAAGAATATGATACTGACCTAAAAAATCAATTCTCCCGATCATAGGTAACAACCATTTAATCATGAGCAACTTTCGCATATAGAACACAAAATTTATATTTGTATGCTATAGCAAAGTTTGCAAAATTGCGCTCCATAGCAAACATATATATGTATAATTCGCTATACATATACAAAAAAAACAGTTGTATAATCTGCTTTGGTATACATATACAAAAAGATCAATTATATAAAGTGAGAGAGGCGAGTGAGTGAGCGAGATCTGGGAGAGTGGCGAGCGAGATCTGGGAACGAAAATATATGTATATATACAATTTTCACGCATTTTATACATTTGCGTTTTTGTATAAAGTGAGAGAGGCGAGTGAGAGAGCGAGATCTGGGAGAGGGGAGAGAGGGGAACGAAAATATATGTATATATACAATTTTCTCTCGCTTTATACAAACACAAACGCATTTTATACAATTTGCGTTTTTTGTATAAAGTGAGAGAGGCGAGATCTGGGAGAAAGGAGAGAGGGGAACGAAAATATATGTATATATACAATTTTCTCTCGCTTTATACAAAAAAAACAGTTGTATAATCTGCTTTGGTATACATATACAAAAAAATCAATTGTATAAAGTGAGAGAGGCGAGTGAGCGAGCGAGATCTAGGAGAGTGGCGAGCGAGATCTGGGAGAGGGGAGAGAGGGGAACGAAAATATATGTATATATACAATTTTCTCTCGCTTTATACAAACACAAACACACTTTATACACTTGCATTTGTATAAAAAACGAGAGAGGCGAGGGAGAGAACGAGAGTGGCGAGCGAGATTCACCAGGAGAGAGGTGAAATAGCAACAATTTGCTATGAGGTACAATTAAATCAAACTATATTTATAAAATTTAATTTGAATTAATAGTTTGCTATTAATACAATTTTCCCTTTAATCATTCATTCTTATTGTTATGCATGTTATATTATTAATGGTGCTAGTTATCATGAATCAGCAAGGAAAACTAGGATCTTGAGTTTTTACAGTTGGATGGTCGAAAAGTACCGGACCTCCACCTCCACCTCCACCTCCACCTCCAATCGTATCGTTAGTTGGATCATAAGCGGTTGTTGAGTATTCCGGCTCTCCGGTGGTGGTGTAGCCTTGTGCTCCACCATGCCTAAGAAAGAAAAAAAAAATATCAAATCCTTCATTTAAGTAGTTCATATATATAGTTCCAAGTTGAGACTATATTATTAATTCAATATTAATAGACTTATATCATTTTACGTGAACCTATTTGACCGGATATATGTAGTTATTATTTTAAAAAAAAAACCTTTTGAAACCTTTAGGTTTAGACATATTATAAGATTTGTGTAGCTCTGAGTCTCTTAAATTTATAATCTTAAACATATAGATTATTCTTTTTATAAGAACTAAAAAAAAACACAAATTAAATGGTAGAAGTACCCTATCAAAGAGTTATATATACCTATAGAATAAAAATTTATATAATCAGATCATTCGTAAATTTATTGTTACGGATAATACATATATCTTAAATTCGTAATTTTTATTTTTTATGTGTTTATGCATATATATATACCTAGCATTTGCATTTTGGTCCTTGGCCTCTTTCTTGTTCAATTCAGCAGCTGTTTTCTTGTCTATGTCCTTCGTTCTCATTCTCTCCACCTGTCAAAAATATGTTTAATACAAATTCGAGCTTGTAATTAATGATAAATTCAGTCATTGATATTTGTATCAGAATCATAAAGTTGAATACTTCACGAATAATTAAAACGTATAAATTTTTCTAAAATAAATATTATTTATAAATAAACAATATTTTATTATAACAGTCAACTTATATTATAAGCATATATACTACTCCCTCTGTCCCAATTTATGTGACACATTTCGAATTTCAAAATTTAAACAAGTTTATCTTTGACCATAAATTTTTCATATATCTTTTAAATATTTTAAATTATCAATTATTGGGACTTATAATACTTTTTATGTAGTTTACAAATATATAAATTTTATTTTAAAAAATTTGAAGATTTCATGAGCAAATTATCGATCAAACTTAAACTGTTTGACTCTTGAAAAGCGAAATATGTCACATAAATTGGAACAGAGGAAGTAATTAAGTAGATAGACACATTAATGTAGTCAATTGATAGTCTATAGCCTAGCTAAATCATACACTTTAATTTTGAGTATGAATATTATTTAGACACTTTAACTAATTGAAGTGCATCAGTTAAACACTCCAACTTATAAAATATGAATTAGACAATTTTTAAATTTCGCGTCACATCAACCTAGAATGTCCACGAAACACTATGGAAACATGTTAAAGTGTTTAGTTATTAGTTAAATTCAAAACAATGTATCTAGACGTGTACTCTTGATGTTGAAGTATTTATTTGCTAGTTGAGGTGAAAATCAAAATATCTAAAATATGCGTTTTATAGAATAAAATTTTGCAATTGACACTATTATAAAGATATTTGACGGTATATATACCTTTTCTTCAACGATGGCATTGGTCTTCTCCATGACAGACTTTGCTGAGGCAGCTGCATTAGCTGCTTTCTCCTTAGCTCTCTGCATATATTTTTTTTTCTACTATGATAAGCTTGTTTTAATTTGTTCTCTATTTATTTGCAAGATGTTATAAAAAGATAGAAATTTGTAGGGTTTTTATTGGGATTGAAGTGGAAAGAGATTGATTCAGAATTTAAATATTATAAATTGAAATATTAACGAATTTATATTTATTATCGACATTCTTTTAATATTTATTTTTTTATGTTAAATTTATATTTTATATTGAAAATATTAAATTCAGATAAATTTATCGGAAACAAGAAGTGTTGCCGCAAGTCGATAAGTGTAACGTTACGTGGTAAATGAGCAAGTTAGGATTGCTGACGGCTTGACACGTTTCAATAGTTAGTCACCCCATGTGTAGTTCATTTGTGAAGTTGGTCCCAAAAATATTTTGTCCTATTGATCTCTAACTTATTTTTATTCAAATATTTTTTTTGTTTTTCGTTCGATGTTCGAAGATTGTATTAGAGTTTCAACTAAAATTGGATTGCGCATTATAAGTCTTATTTGGAAGTGGTGCTCCAATATGTTTTTTTTGTACTCAAGGCTTAAATTTAAGATCGCTAATTAAGGGTGAAGTAGTTTCATCACTACACCACAAGACTATATTAGTAATTTTGATGAAAATTGAATGGGTTGAAATATAGCTTGTTTATTAATATAACATTTTTTTTGGTTTTCCATCACCGGACCTTACATTGGAGCTCTGACTAAATTCGAATCTCGACTACAAGGTCCATTCAGAGATAGCGCTCCCAATAGAATTTTCTCCATATGCTGAGCTCAAACTCAAAACCTCTAATTAAATAATTCATCTATTTGACACTCCTCTTTGTGTGCTTACTAGAAGTTCCAAATTCTTATCTTAACATAATGAACCAAATAAATCATAAGTTCCAAATAATTCAAGAATTATAATCCCTACATAATTTTGTGCCGCAAAATCAAGTGAACCCTCGAAAAAATGAGATCTCTTGTCATCTTATAATTTGAATAGAAGAAAAATGATCTTTTCAAATTTCTGTAAAAACGAAAGATTCTTTATGAAAAGACCATAAAACTAAAAAAAATAAATAAGTGCCCTACGAAATCATTTCTCCCCGATCCCTAGGGGGGATTACTGTGTTGGGGATGGTCAACTGGAGTAGGCCCAAGAATGGATATTTGTTGACATCTCAATAGTAACTAACTCCTAATAGCAACCTTGAGGTTGGGATCGATTATATGAATCCTCTTGTATGTATGAAGAGGATCTTCGTAGTTAGACGATCTCTATATTGCTAGTCAACCGTCTGTAATCCTCCTCCTCTATTCGGGCTTGGGATCGAGTTTGCTAGAGACAAATTGAAGTCATAAGGAGTACTTAACCTTGTTGAGTGTTGACCTCTCACATAATGAGGTTTCAGCACTGTCGATTCATTGTAGTCTGATAACGAGTTATCCAAGCACGGATGGATAACTCGTTATCAGCTAACTTGCTCCTCAAAATTCAGCGAAAACATGAGATCAGGGACATACCCTGAATCTAACAATTGGGCTGTCAATCCAGTCAAAACTTGCTGCAGATAACTTTCTTGAAGGGACATGATATTACATGCCGAGAATGTATACATTTTGTTCTGCAATTCAATCCAACTATGTCCAGTTTCCTTCTTTAACGACTTCGCCTTTATCAGTTTCCTAATCTTGGCTGTTTCATCCCACATCTGTAACTCCGCGTAAATATTAGATAATACAATGTAGGCTGAAGTATCATCAGGATCGATATCTAGAATCTTTTCAGCAGCATATTTCCCCAAGACAAAGTCTCTATTAGCTTTGCAACCAGACAAGAGACAACGCCACACTACCTTATCCGGTTCCCCTGAAAAGCTCTTTATGAAACGATAAGCTTCTTTTGTTTTTCCTTTGCGTGCGAATAGACTGACTACACAAGCCAAGTGATCTGTCCTTGGAATGATTCCGTGCACCTTAGTCATGCTAGTAAAATGGTGAAGTCCTTCGTCTAAAAGTCCAACGTGTCCACAGGCAGATAATACTCCAAGAAATGTAATGTCGTTAGGCTTAACCCCACTGCTCTGCATCATACCATAAATTTCTAAAGCTTCTTTCCCAAACCCATGCTGGGCGTATCCTACAACCATGGTGTTCCAAGATATCAAGTTTTTCGCGGGAAGGATGTCAAAAACTCTACGTGCATAACCAAGTCGTCCACATTTAGCATACATATCAACGAGGGCGCTGTCAACAACCACATTGGAATCAAATCTAGACTTTAGTACACGGCAATGGGTTTGCTTGCCCCATTCAATAGCTGGTAAATCTCCGCAAATGCCCAAAATGCTTGAGTATGTGTATAGGCTCGGTTCGAAACCCTCAAGCAACATTTCCCTGAGAAATTTCATAGCTTCTTCATACCGACCCGAGCTCACACATCCAGCAATTAGCGTATTCCAGCTAACAACATCATGTTCTTTCATTTCTTGGAAGAGCTTTAATGATTCCTCAAACAAGTCACTTTTGGAGTAAAAGTCCAACAAAGCATTGCATACGAAACTAAATGAGTTGAATCCCTGTTTTACAATCCGCGAATGAATCTGTTTCCCAACTCTAAGTTCTTTTACATCAGCAAAAGCTCCAATAACTGATGAAAATGTTCTCTCGCTTGGTTTCAACCCCGAGGAAAGCAACTTACAGAAAAGTTCAATGGCCTCTCTTCTACTCCCTAACTGCACACAACCTCCAATAATCGCAGTCCAAGCATGCAACTCCGGTCCATCTGCCTCATCAAAAGCTTGACGTGCCAATTCCAAACGACCACATTTAGCGTAAAAATTAATCAAACCAGTCACCACAAACTGATCCATCCCCAAACTAGACTTAACAATCAAACCATGAATTTGCATTCCAAGTTGCAAATTTTTTACCACAGCACAAGCACCCAAAACACTCCCACAGAAAAACTCATTCAATATCACCCCTCCCCTTAACGCCAACACGAACATGTTCAACCCTTCTTGATACTCCCCACAATGAAAATAACAAGAAATCAAAGAAGCCCAAGTAACAGAATTAGGTTCCAAAATTCCATCAAAAACAATCCTAGCTGATTTCAACAACCCACATTTCCCATAAAAATTAACCAAACAATTACTCACAAAACTATTTAAACTTTCCTCAGTTTTCAACATCCTCCCATGTAACTCCTTCCCTGTTCTTTCAGCACCTAAACTACTACAAGCTGATAAAGCAGCAACATAAGTATAACCATTTGGACCAAACCCATCTTCAAGATTCATTGATCTAAAGCAACCCAAAGCTTTTTCAGACATACCCAATTGAGAATATGTGGAAATCAATGTTGTCCAAGAAATGATGTTTCGTTCAGGCATTCTGTCGAACAGTTGTTGGGCATCATCAAGTTGATTGAGTTTTAAGTACATTGTGAGCAAGTGATTGTTTGTAAAAATGTCAGCTTTTTGGGACCCAAGTTTGAGTAGCTGAGCATGGAGTGACTTGCCATTGAAGAGGGACTTTGAGCTTGTGCATCCACGAAGGAGTTGAATGAAGGACATGAAAGAACAGAGTAATAGTAACTAAAGTGAAACCAAAAATAAGATTTTGATAAGTAATTTTTTGGCTAAGATAATTTCTTCAAAATTTGAGACTATATGATATAATTTTGTCAAATGGTGTTAGAATGATCAATATTGATTTTGTAAGTTATATATAATTACTTTTTTTAGTATTATGTTTTATTTTACAAGATAATACATAAAAAGTACCCTTTTAACTTGGTTTCATCGGACATGTATGTCTTTCAACTTTGCGTATGTACAAATAGACATTTAAGTTTGTATAAAATTGAATAAATAAACACACTCCTCCTATGTGACGTCATACATGACAATTTTATTTCTTACGTAACGTCTTACGTGTATTATGTCTAATAAAACGTGTGTGTCTACTTGTTCAATTTTATACGAGTTTAAATGTTTCTTTGTGCACATTCAAAATTGTAGGGCATAGGTATCAATTGAAATCAAGCTAAAGAACATATTGATGTATTATATCTTATTTTTACTATAATATATTTGAAAAAAATATATTTTCTTTTATGTAAATTTATAAGGGTCAAAGAGATCTTAATTGTCCCTCAAAATGTAATAATTTGTTAATTCACATACTATACTTTGAACTTAGACACAAATTTTCAATATCAATCGCGTACGTCTGAAGTTGTTCCCAAGAGGACCAAAATCTTGCAAAAAAAATAAATTAAAAAGCAAACACAAGCTAAATGGCGGTCCTAAGAACATGTGAATATGATAATTATTTGGCCCCAAGCTTATAATCAAAATTAGCCCATATTTTCATATCTTATCACATTTAGCTTATATTGTACATATTTAATTTAAAATATTTAGGGGAAACGAAATTAATTTGTTTATTTGTGATTATGATAGTTGAAAGGATTTAAGTAGTAAGTTCACTCCAAGATGAGTGCTCTCTTAATTTATTTTATTTTTCTTTCATTTTTTTTACTCTTAGAAACTGACGGAGAGTGATATCCATGTTTATTACCATGGATGAAGTGGAGTTTGGAAAATGTTTTCCTCAAATACGGGGATTACTTTACAAACCCTAGGTCGGCAGGCAGCAGTCATGGCTGCTACGGCCACTAGACGGCCTCCTTTTGAGGCTGTCCAGCCCGCCCCACCACCCCAAACCATCACATACACCACCCTTTTCAATTCCAATACTATAAATCCTAAACAATCTGCCCTAATTAACTCAAAAACAATTGTAAAAGCATTCGAAATAATTCATGAAGAACCTACTATCACGTTTTCAATGGAGGAAAGGCAAGACTTTGTGATCGAAGAGGGATTACATCAAGCAGTGGTGTTTAAATTATCCCATGGTGCGCCAGATTTGAAGGCATTAAGGTCAATTTTACCGAAACATCTTGGTACCAAGGGCAATTGTTCAATTGGCTT